GTAAAACAGCAATTATGCTGAGTCAGGCTTGATTTTTTAGTAATCTTTTCCTGTTAAATCAATCAAATCAAATCAAATCAATGTAGTCAAGAAGGAACATGGGTCTTAATACAGTCTGGTCCTTGTACTTATCAGGGACATGCAAGGCATCAGTGTTGTATAAAGTAGCACAAAGTGATACTTGAGTAAAAGTACAAGTACCTTACCAAAAAATTACTTTGGTAAAAGTTGAAGTCTCCTTTAAGAATATTACTTGAGTTAAAGTCTTAAAGTATCTGATAATTTTTGTACTTAAGTATTAAAAGTAAAAGTATTGAATTAAAATGAGCAGTTAGATTTTCTGTAATGACATTTATTAGGAGGTGACCCCCACCCCCAAAACATGCAGAAATGACTATATTGTATTAAAATAATTACTGTTTGTGCCCAAACGTTTTCTCCAAAATGAAAATCTATCCGAGGCCTGTGGGTCAAATGCAATAATATAATTCATGAAATACAAATACTTCTTAAGTGAAATCTTTTATCTTAATGATTATGTCCTTCATGTGACATGATTTGTTTATGTACAAACTAATACGGTATCAGAATTTTATATATTTATACTTCTCATGCAACCACAATTAAATTCACTCTAGAAGGCACAATTTATAAAGATAGTATTTATTTTTTATGGTAACAAGCTGGAATGAAAACAAACAAAAATGAAATAAAAGTAACAACTTTCTACTTCTTACCTTTTTTAATGTAAGGAAAGTACAGACAATTGTGTGAAAATGTAAGAAGTAGAAGTAACAAAGTATTTGTACTTATACTTTACAACTCTGCATGAAAGTAGGAGTTTTACACTTTTGGATATTTTAGCGGACTTAAAATTAGTTTCAGCAGAAGCTGATATGTTTGCTCAGTTTCCAAAGTTAGCGAAAAGCTAATCCGCTAATGTGTCCACCCCTGGCTGTTTTAATGTTTACAAAGGCTGCTTAGCTCCAGGGGTAATAGTTTGTAGACACATATCCAGAGTTTTAACAAACAAAATGTATATTTATTCATGAAATATTTTACTAAGACTGCAGGGTGCTTTTGCCACCTGGTGTAAAACAGTGGTTCCCAAACTTTTTRTCTTCTGACCCACAAAATATCCATGGCAAAAACTTGTGACCCCAAATATTACTGGTCTGAGTACACAAACTTAGTTAATAACCCTAAAAACACAGGCTTTTTGACAATCTAAACAGTTTGTACACAAATATAAATACTTATTTTTACTTATTTTGTGTTTTTGTAATAATTACAGGGAATATATTACATCAGCAATCATTTTATTATCATTTAAATTGATTTCTGGAGATTATCCAAGGTGCTTCATGACCTATAATTGGGTCCCAAGCCCCAGTGGTTCCCAAACTTTTCAGCTTTTGACCCACAGAATAGTACAAAACAGTAGCAGAGACCTGAGCCCCCGACTATTTTTGGATGATAAACAATTGTATCAGGTCAACTAAACATGGGCACAGTAACAATATTTTTACTACATTTATCCATTTTAAATACACTAACCTCACTCCTTTGTAACAACCAAGGCAAAAAATGTAATTAATTCAGAAAATCTTTTCAGGACCCCACCTTGACGTTTCAGGACCCCACTTTGGGGAATAAGATGTTGCGGTTACAAGGTCAGGTTTGTTCTGAAAGAAACAAAAAGTTAAGACTGTTGTTGTTTTCACAATAAAGCAGCTTGAGATCCTTGTTTTCCGGCTCGTGTTGGTGAGAAATTCCAGACATAATTCAGTTTAATTGTCTGAAAACACCTCTGTGAGCTGTTTTTGTCCTCACACACACACTGCTGTCACTTTTAGCACGTCCGTGGTTCGGTCCACGACCTCCTGTTAGGGCGTCACAACGTCCGCCCTTGTCACTCCTCATGACACACACACGACACATTACATGCATCTGCGGTCACAGCGGATTATTTAACCACCTCCATGTGGAAAATAAACGCAGGCTGAAGCCGTTGGCAGACATCGCTGAACTTCTACCCACTTTAGAAAGAGGAGGCTCAAAATAAATTCAGCTTCCTGACATGTTCTATATTTATCTGTGGTGTGAGAAACTGAAGATCCCTCCTGCTCTGACAGGATGAGGCGTCCCTCTTCAGGGACGTGACAAATTAAATGGAAGGCATACGGTCACGTGTCTTTACTTTATTCAGTTCTAATCCAGTTCTAACAGCCTAAATCTCGTGGTTAGTCGGTGACCTACTGAAGGGATCTGCTTGAGGCAGGCACCACGGCTATTTTAGGACTAGTGTTTGGAAACACCCTGGAGAGAAGAACAGAACTTCCTCAAAACAATCATCACCACAGAATAAATGTATAAAAAAAGTTAAGCGAGGCAGTAACTGGATCAAATTAGCTGTAAAGTCTACACAGGCCACAGCCCATCTTCTTTTTTATCCAAAACTTTTGTAACATGAAAACAAAAAGCTAATTGACTGTTTATCTTTAAAAGTTACTCGAAATAAAACAAGGGCTCTCCTGAGCTACGGAAGTTTAAAAGTGCTTACTTTTCCAAATATACAAAACTAAAATGTGGGTACGCACTCAGTGTAAACTAAGCACTCTGACAAATCGGTCAGGATTAAAACAGGAAGGTTGAGTCAAGTGATGGACCTTCATTAGGCCGGTCGTCTGTAGAGGTAAACAAATATGGTTCAACTGGACTTTCAGAAGATGCTTAGGTGGAAATATGAAAAATGAATCTATGAGAACTGTCAAAAATAAATATGGAGGATCAAACAGGACGCTGAAGCATCATAAAGACAGAGCTCAACATTTAAACACCCATGAACCTGTGTCAAAACACTAATTTAATGTTTAAACATTATATGATGGGATTTGTTCCCATTTGTCTTTTCCACAGATGTCATTGTTGATCAGCTGTCTCCACAGGTAAACAAACTTAATTTGAGGACACATGAGAATATTGTGTGGATTGTTTATGATTTTTTTTACTGGACTTGGTGATTTTGCAATAAGTCCATTTAAATTGACAAATTATCCAGATCATGCACATTCAATTCAATTAAATAATACTAGTAATGAAGATACATGTAAGAATTACAATTTAAAAAAAAATTCAATTGAAATTTCACCCATTTGTTTTTCTGTTTCAATGTATGTAATGACAAATTAAATGAGCCTAAATGAATCTAAAATGAGTTTTACATATTTTCTCCTTGTCACTGGATTTAGTGTTTTCTTCTTATGACAGCTGGCCAATTTTCAAGCCAAGAAAATTAAGTTTGTTTTTCAGTAATCTTCGTTTTTGGTTTGGAAAGAGCAATTAATTATCTTTCTGCACTATCTTATTTTAATGTCAAATAACCAGATTCTTAATATGGGGCGCAAAGTGTAAAATGAAATGTTAACATTTTGTTATTTAGCTCACTGTTCTTACATTTATTTAAATTTTAACATAAAATTACATATACACACACACACGTTAAGACATCATCATCCTGAGACAATAACAACCACCGTTTATATTTAAAATCTTAATTCAACATGTGTTCTTAAAAAAACAGTATGGGTGGCATCTGTGGTTCAGCAATTTGAAGTGCAGCTCAGTGTAGCTGCGTTGGAGCGCTAGTGATTGCTACTGTCTCAGGATGATGACATCATAACGAGCCGAGCACGAACAGCAAAGGCTGTGTTCCATTCAGAAATACCTAAATGTGAACTTCAGGGTTTAAGGTTTAACTTTTAAATTTAGGATTTACTATTTAAATATATTTAACATTAATAAAATTAGCTAAATGTAACAGTGAGCCAAATAATGAAAAACACATTTTAGTGAAACTATTTAACATGTCATTTAGTGAGCGTATTATTTTTTTAAACCAATTTGTTATATTGTAATAAAATGTATCCGATATAAAAGGTCACATATGTTCTTAACGCTACATGTTTTGTACCTTTTCCCTCTCAAATACAAAAAAGGATATAAACAGAAAGTTTCCATCACAACAAACCAAAATGGGCAGAAAAACCAAACACAGATGTTTCAGTTGTACTTTAATAAACAGCAAATATTTATTGCCTAAATGAAACTGGTGGTCAAATGGTCCAACACAAATCAGTGGTTTGACAGAACTGCAACAAGATAATGAGTTCAACAATCACTTGGTAAAGACAAAACTAAACAAACAACACTTTCCGTTTAAAAAAAGATAAGACAATGATAATTTAACATTGCTTCTATTTACAAACAAATCAAATAAAGTTACACGTGTCATAAAAAAGAATCATTGCAGGTATTTACAGTCTGTACAGGTGTGAAGGAGACTTCATGCTGGAAGAGAAAAAAAACAAAAGTTGGACACAGTTCTGTATTTTGCACCATATTACGTACAAAGCTCCTGGTGGTATTACCTATAAACGATTGAGCAGGGTGTTCTGAATGTCCTCGTACACCTGGTTGTAGAGCTCCTCTTTGGATTTCAAACCATCAAGGTACTCTGCAGCACATAAAACAGCAAAACCAGTTTAGACACAGACCTGAAACATTTGACACCAAAACCTGCAGCTGCTACGCACCTAAAAGTAGGCAGCAGTCCTCCATCTCTTTCCTGTGCTTCAGGTACATGGGCCAAACGTGGCCGTCGAACAGGCCGGGAGGGTCGGGGACTGTGTACTGTCTTGTGCTAAAAACAACAATAATAGATGTTTTATTAAAAGAAACATAATAAAAAAGGGGGGAAATGAGTGCATTAAAGGAGTTAGCTCACCTTCTTCTTCTTTTGCACTCCTCATAAGGAATTGCGATGTAGTAGCACTTATCAAAGACATCCAGCAGGGGCCTGAAGGATGAAAAGAAAAAGCTTATGAAACAAGTTACGTAGCATCTTTTATGCAACGGTGACATAGCTGCTCATGCTGGCCCTTATCGACATCTCTACAGCCACACTCGTCACGAGTACACAGAGTACGGACCACCCATCACTCCCGAGGGTCCACTCAGGGAGCCTCTTTCTGTTGAAGCCCTTATCTCTGAAGTTCAGGGGCTGCTCAAATCTGCTCGCTGGCGTTCACGAACAAGCGTCACGACACTAACTTCTTTTTCCTTCTTTCTTTTTAAAAGCGAGCCATTTAAGAACTCAAAATGACATCTTACAGGTAGTTGTAGAGCAGGAAGCCCTCCACAATCAGGATGTGGATCTGCTCATCGGGGTTGGCCACGTCGGGGACGGGTGATAGGGTGACGCCGTGGGAGCGAGCAAACTTCACTGGGTTCTCCATCCAGCCTCTTATCGTGTTGGTCATGGCCTCCATGTCCATCGCTGTGATCACTGCGGGCAACAAGCGAGAAAAAAAATACAGAAAAGAAACTATAAAAAGGATTAGAACAAACAAAACCAAAAGATGTAATTTATTGTGTTTGTTGTTCTGTAAATGCTTTATTGAAAATGTTCTACCAACTGTGTGTGTGCAACTGAAGAGGATGGAGTCTATTAACGTTAAGGAGGGACAAATAAAATCACTGTCGGTCTTCAGTGAAGTCTTACCATCCCATTGTCTAAAGCCGTCCTCCCCGACTTCTATTTGATCGGGTTTCTGAAATAACAGTCACCAATAAAACATTGCTGCAACCTCGCAACACTTGAAGATCTCACCCACATGCCAAGGCAGTGAGGCCAAACCAGTGAGCAGAAAGAGGAAACGGTAAAAGAGGAAAGGCACTGCAATCAAACAAGGACAGTTATGAATATAAAGTAAAGCAAGTAGATTAAAAGCTGTGGGGAAACAAAACTGACTAAAGGAGTGCAGAGAAATGACGAGCAGATTAAAGTAAAGTCAGTTAATCAGCTTTAATAAGAGTTTTATTCACAGGATTAATGGAGGGAAACACACCGGGAGGAGAAAAGAAACAACATGCAGAGGTATACAAAAGTGCAGGGGGGAAGGGAGGCTGATTAAGCAGGACCTCCTTCTTTGCTCACACAAAACACTAATGCAGAAATGAAAAAATAAATAAATAAATAAATAAAAGAAGAGCCAAACTTAACACGTATTAACCTTCTAATTCCTAATATTAATTATAAAAAAGTCACCTTGAAAAAGTCATCTTGGTGCACAACACAGCAGTTGGGCAAAGTCTTGATCAGTTTATTTGTGAGAGTGGTTTTACCACCATTTGTGACTCTGTAAAAGAACAAAGAAAGTTATTGTTTGAATAAAATAAATATTCTTAGTAAGACATTATGTTGTTTACTATTGTTTATTTAGAATCAGCTTTTATTTTCATAAAAAAAAAAACATAATCAACACCCAAAACCTAATATCATACAGATATGTGTATGAACATAAATCAATATTTCTAATTCACATACAGGTAGTTATACTTGTACAAATAGTACAAGAAAAGATGCAACATATACTTAAAATTAACAGAATCGTGTCTTCCTGATTAAAGTTTGTTTATAAAGTAAAAAAAATAAAAGATGGAAACATAAAGTATTTGTGTTGTCAAACATTGTGGATGTAAAAAGTGTCTCTCCCTCCACTTTTAAACCGAATCTCGCGGTGAAATTTTAAAAGTCCCGCTCGATTTATGACAACAAACCAAACCGGAAGTACCACCGGAAACGGCTTTAAAGAATAAGTTTCTGGCGGGCAGCAGAAAAAACTTAATCATATTAGAACATTATCTGCTAAATACAAGTTTCCAAAACCTTATTCAAGAGACAATTTATTATTAATAAACAATATTTTAGATAATCAGTCAACAAAAGTCTATTATACAGTATGTTATTTCAATTAACTTATTTTGAAACAGACGACGCAAATATATTTGAACACATTGTTATTTGTGATAAAAACATGTGGCAAAAGAAACAAACACTATGTCTTAAAGTAAAATAAATATACACACATACCCGCCAATTCCTATAATGTATTTCATCTTCTTTTCTTGTCTTGTCAGCGTCAAATAAAGCAAAAACGCTTAATTAATTTATTAATTAACTCCAAAACAAAACTCAACCAAAGCTTGAAAAAAGTATATTTAAAGTCGCAGCGTTAACTTCTGTCTGTCCTCTTCTCTGATCTGATCTGATTCACCTCGCGACGCTTTTCAATTTATACCCAGCGTGCGTCCTGCGTCATGGCACACGCGGGCACGGGACGTCCTCGTGCTCTGACGTGCTCGTGCATAGTTTCATTCGCTCTGCGAACCTGCCCCTTTTCCTGCGGACCAATCAGACTCCACACAGCGGCTCATCACCAGCCAATCACGACGCGAAAGCTTTTCCCACATTGACATGCTTCCTGCACCTGCTGCGGTCTGTCCTCCTTCAGAGTTACAGCAGCTGTGGAAAACTACCATTGATGGTGTCGGATAGATGCTTTAAAATAACTGCTGTGTAATAATGTTTCACAGAAAAGTGATTTATCGACAGTTAAGACACGTTCAAACTTAAGAGAACAGAGGAATTAAACCAATTATTATGTTTCAATTTCAATTCAATTCAGTTTGTTTATATTTATAGGATTTATCAAAAAGGAAAGTCTTCAGTCTAATCTTAAAAGTAGACAGAGTGTCAGC